TATTATCTCAACACCAATTCACTCGACCCCTATCTACGGTCTCAGTAGACAGTGCAAATACTCTCTCTCTCTCTCTATATATATATATATATATACATATATATATATATATATATCTATTTGACGATATATATGTATATATATATTCTGCAGACTGTTGAGGGTTYAGCCTCCTGATTAGTCGGTGAAACTCCGACGAAACAGTTTGTCACAACCCCTCGTTTGTTGTCCTCTTCTCTCTCTCTGCCTACGGTTTACCGGACAGTTCTGTTTGTGACGATATATATATATATATACAGGGTTACCTGACCGAACGTTCGGGGGCCCCCGGGCTGGCCCCCGAACGTTCGGGCGTTCGGGATCCCGTTGGGGGGCCAAATGCCTCCAAGTTCGGCCCCCGCCAAAAACTATTTTGGGGCCTAAAAATAAGTTTTTTTTTCTGATTTTGTTTTTCTGAGTTCTCTGTGATGTAACCTACACGCCTATAAAGTTTGAAGCCATTCTGCTAAGCCAAACAAACATTAAAAATCGTCAAAGACGGGGGTGTCAAAACGTGCTCGCCCACTCACTATTTTGTTTTTTTTAACTTTTAACTTTTTGTTTTCACTTTATTTCGGGGCCTATACCATTTTATTATTTTTTGAAACATTTTTAATGCGTTAATGATTATGTAAACTACATATCTGTAACTTTTCAGGGCATTTGTCTATGCCAAAAAATAATTAAAAATCGGCAAAGATGGTGGTGTCGAAAAGGTGCTGGTACACTCACTCATTTTAATTCTCTTTTTATTTTTTCTTATTTTTATCATAGTGTTTATTTTCTGTATTGGATTCTTAAGTCAAATTTGGTAAAGAATTTGGATGTAGTGCTCAGGCAAATGTTGTTTAGTTTATTTGCCTCCATAACATAGTTTTTTTTCGAAAGTTTTTCAAAATGTTGTTGGTTTTTTTTTCCGTTTCTGGACGCGACATCCCACTCGAGCCTACGACACCCCTCCCCAACTTTTTTTTTTTTTGCCGACCCCTTATTTTCGGGGT